CAAAAAAAGGGGTCAAAAAAAAAAAAAAAGGGGAGTTGGAATTGGAAGGGAAGATGGGGCATCCCGGCGGTGGGGTTAGGGTGGAGGGGAGATGGCCATGCCCAGAGGAGAGCAAGTGAGGCACCAGGCTCATGGAGGACATCAATCATCAGTTCATCTTCATCCCCACCCGTGTTACAGCTCCTTTGGGACGCTGTGCTGGAGTCGCCAGGCTCAGATGAGACATCAGTCATCCGCTTGTCTTCACCCATATTGCACCTGCTCCACGGCCAAGGAGACACATCCTGGAGCCACCAGGCTCATGGAGGACGTCCGTCATCAGGTCATCATCACCCCCAGCCGTGTTGCACCTGCTCCAGGACCAAGGAGACACATCCTGGAGCCACCAGGCTCATGGAGGATGTCAGTCATCAGGTCATCTTCACCCTCAACTGTGTTGCATCTCCTTCAGGACCAGTCTTGGAGCCAGCAGGCTCAGGGAAGACATCAGTCATCAGCTCATCATCCCTCCATCCAAATCGCATCTCCTCTGGGACTAGGAAGATGCATCCTGGAGCCACCAGGCTCATGAGGGACATCACTCATCAGCTCATCTTCACCCTGAGATGTGTCACATCTCTGGGACGCAGCGTCCTGGTGCCACCAGGCTCATGGAGGACACCAACCATCAGCTCATCATCCACGCTGCATCTCCTCTGGGACCAGGGAGCTGCATCCTGGAGCCACCGGGCTCACGGGAGCTATCAGTCATCAGCTCATCTTCACCCCTATCTGTGTCACATCTCCAGGACCACGGAGCCAAGTCCTGGAGCCACTGGGCTTTTGAGGGACATCAAGCATCAGCTCGTCATCCCCCCATCCATGTCGCATCTCTTCCGGGCAAACCAGTCCATCCACAGTAGCCGTGTGGCACTGGCCAGCAAGGAAACCAGCACCCTCCACCTGGGGCACCCGCCAGGTCCACCCCACCCACCCAACTTCAACCGTTCCCCCCCACGGTGGTCACCCATCACCACCACCTCTATCGGGATGAAGCGGTGCCACCCTCCTCATCCTCCCCACCATCAAACCCCATCATTTATCCCTGGGCCGCGCGGGCGTGGATGCGCGTGTGCCGGGCGAGGGAGGACTTGTTGCTGAAGCTCTTCCCGCAGTGGGGACAGGGGAAGGGTCTCTCCCCCGTGTGCGAGCGCTCGTGCACCGTCAGGTCCGCCAAATACTTGAAGCTCTTGCCGCAGGCGCCGCAGGGGTAGGGTCGCTCCTCGGTGTGGCTCCGTTGGTGCATGGTGAGGTTGGATTGTTGGCTGAAGCGTTTGCCGCAAGCGGCGCAAGGGTAGGGTCGCTCGCCCGTGTGCGACCGTTGGTGCTTGTTGAGGTCCGATGGGTTGGTGAAGGTCTTGCCGCAGGAACCGCAGGCGTAGGGACGCTCACCCGTGTGAAGCCGTTGGTGGGTGGTGAGGGTGGAGAGGTGGCCGAAACTCTTGCCGCAAGCCCCGCAGGCGTAGGGCTTCACACCCGTGTGGGTTCGCTGGTGGGTCTTCAGGTGGGTCAACCGGCCGAAGCTCTTGCCGCACTCGCCACAGGGGTACGGACGGTCCTTCCCCTGCGCCGACAGCTCCCGCTTCACCCAGGGCTTCTCTGGGCTCCTGGTGTCCTCTGCCAGTCCAGGCGGACCTTGGGCGAGGGGCTGTGGGAAGGGTGGGATCTGGCGCCGGTGGGTCCCCCTCCGGGTAGGGGTCCCGGCTGTCGGGGCACCTTGGAGGGTGCTGGGTGGGTGCGGGGGGTCTTGACGTTGCAAATCGGACACCTCCGAGTCTCTGCTCGCTGCGGTGGGACCTGCTAGGGGGGAAGGAGAAGATGCTTCACGAGTTGGTTCTCAACGGAGGACACAACCCTTCTCCTCTGACCCCACCGCCCTCGATCTCCTCCAGCAATGGTGGAGATGGTCCAGCTCCCACCGATGAGCGAAACCCCAAACGCATCCATGGATGGCCATCAGGCCATGCCAGGGGAGGGATGAAGTTGAAGCCACCTCAGTAAAGGAACCCAGCTGGGCCAAGGGGCAAGGACGGCTGCAGGACAACTCCGAGAGGTGCCCACCGTGCTCCAACCATCATCCCTGATACACCACAACTCCTTAAGGCAGCGTTTCCAGCATCACCGTGAAGGAGAAGCTGATGCCGGAGGAAGGGAAGAAGATTTTGGGGCTCAAAAGTTTCCAGAGGACAAACGGGGAGAAGAAGAGCGCTCTACGGATGCTCATGATCTTCACTCCAAGATCTCCATCCTTCTCTAACTTCTCCACAACTCAGGAGACGGCCGTCTTCCAGCTTCCCACATCGGCGTGCCCATCTCAGATACGTCTCCCTGCCCTTCTTGCTTCCCTTTGGGTTTTGAGCCCAAGGAGACCTTTCTTCTCGCACCGCAACAGGGCTCAAGATCACACGTGGCGGCGCCGCCGCAGATCCTTCTCGGGGTCCTGTCTTTCTCCTTCCTCAATACCCCAAGAGTTCTCCCAGCACCAGGACCTCATTTCTGACCCTCTTCCCCCCGCTTTGCTGTCGCGCGTTCTCCGCCAAGAGCGACAAAACCAACCCAAAAAAGAGCAATGGGAACGTCCCTGGGGAGGACCAGACCAGACCAAGCCCATCGCAGGAGACACCCCACCACCTCCGAGCTCCCCTGGCTCCTACAGCAGCTTCTTCCCCCCTTTTTTTTTTGGAGGGGGGTGAAGGGTTTCTTGCCTTGAGCCCATTACCTGCTTCTTGCCGGCGCCGCTCCTCTTCCTCGGGGACAAACTTGACCTTGCTTCGGGCTACCTCCTCCCGCCAGCCATCTCCGGAGGGGAGCTGGGGTGACTCAGGTGGGGGGCTTGGTGGGTCCCCCACCATTTCGGGGTCCTCCACGTCCCCTGGGGCCACCTCTTCCACCTTCACGCGCACCGTCACCTGCGGGATCCAAGGAAAAAGGGGCACCCAGGGGCTGCAGAGGGGAGTTGGGTGCCCAGGACCCCCATCCCTCCTGCCTTTCCGAGGTCAGTTTTGGGGGTGCCCTGTGGGAACGAGCTCGGAAGCAATGCTGGAGGGCGGGGGTTGTGCCCAGTTTTGAGAAACGGGAGGGTGGGAGCTCCTTGCAAACCCCAACCCAGGGCAGGATGATCTGGTCACCGCTCTCACCTGCTGCTCCCAAATCCCATTGGGATCTCCCTGTCCCAACTGGAAGCTCTCGGCCAAGGCGACGGCTTGGGCGCAGGATTCAGGATGTCGCACCCAGACCCAGCTCTGGATTTCCTCAGGAAGGATGCTGAGGAATTGCTCCAGCACCAGTAACTCCATGATC